CGTAGGAAGAAATTCTACCTGCAGATACAGTTTAGCATTCGTGGCATGTTTACGGTTCATCACCTATGATAGATCTTCCAGTCTCAGTACTTGCAAAACCACTTACTTCACTTCTTTGTTAAGAGCCATAACAACTTCGAATCACAAAGTGATATCACTAAAAGGACAAGGCGCAGGGATGTGGCAACGCTACTGACTGATCTTTGGACCACAGAAAGCCTCTGATCCTTCAGGTTGTAGGAACCCAGAGCCTTGGAGTATAGCTGGGCCCCCTGTCTCCGGGAGTTACAAATATGGAGGCCTGGTCCTCCAGGAGTGTGGGGCTAACAACCTCACACCATAAAAATAATTATTATGGAACCTCAAGAGAAGTCTTGGAGCAGACTGAAATTGGTAATTGCTAAGATTGGTAAGGAGGAAATATGCCAAGACACAGTTGGACGATATAGCCTACATGACGACACGAAAGGGTAATAAATAAATAAAGATTTGGTAGTAAAAGAACAGAGTGGATCATCAATTGGTAATTCAAGATCATTGCATCGAGGTGATGGAGAGTTTGTGTATCTGAGTCCATGCATTACCAGTGATAACAATGAATACATGGAAAATGTTGGCTAACGAGGCCCACATCTCATTAGTGGCAGTGATGAGAAGTGGGGATACACACAGGAAAATAACGTGTCTTCATGTATGGATGTAAAATCTGGGTGCGGTCCCTGAAAACAGAAAACGCCCTCAAGGTGTTTGAAACACAGAAAGGCAGAAAACTGAGGAGGCCATGGCCCGATGGATGGATGGATGGATGGACGGATAGATCACTAAAAGGAAGTCGGATGTGTATGAATTCAGGCTAATAATCTAGAAAAGATTCTCAGAATGGTAGGTCATGGTCAATAATCAAAGGCCTTCTTTTCATATTTTGTAAGCTGGGGTAGCTCAGTCAGTATAGTTACTGGTTATGGACCGGACGACTAGGGTTCGATCCCCGATGGGGACAGAGGATTCTTCCTGTAGCTTCTGCATCCAGGCCGGCTCTGGGCCCACCCAGCCTCCTACTCAATAGGTACTGGGGTCCTTTGCTGGGGGTAACATGCGGCCAGGGCATGACGCTAACCACTCACCCCTACCTAGTACTGAAGTTAAGAATGAGTCGGAGATATACTTCTTCTCCCCCCCAGGTACCTGCATGGTCTATAGAGGGACAGCTTTGCTGAAAATGCGTAGGAAGAAATTCTACCTGCAGATACAGTTTAGCATTCGTGGCATGTTTACGGTTCATCACCTATGATAGATCTTCCAGTCTCAGTACTTGCAAAACCACTTACTTCACTTCTTTGTTAAGAGCCATAACAACTTCGAATCACAAAGTGATATCACTAAAAGGACAAGGCGCAGGGATGTGGCAACGCTACTGACTGATCTTTGGACCACAGAAAGCCTCTGATCCTTCAGGTTGTAGGAACCCAGAGCCTTGGAGTATAGCTGGGCCCCCTGTCTCCGGGAGTTACAAATATGGAGGCCTGGTCCTCCAGGAGTGTGGGGCTAACAACCTCACACCATAAAAATAATTATTATGGAACCTCAAGAGAAGTCTTGGAGCAGACTGAAATTGGTAATTGCTAAGATTGGTAAGGAGGAAATATGCCAAGACACAGTTGGACGATATAGCCTACATGACGACACGAAAGGGTAATAAATAAATAAAGATTTGGTAGTAAAAGAACAGAGTGGATCATCAATTGGTAATTCAAGATCATTGCATCGAGGTGATGGAGAGTTTGTGTATCTGAGTCCATGCATTACCAGTGATAACAATGAATACATGGAAAATGTTGGCTAACGAGGCCCACATCTCATTAGTGGCAGTGATGAGAAGTGGGGATACACACAGGAAAATAACGTGTCTTCATGTATGGATGTAAAATCTGGGTGCGGTCCCTGAAAACAGAAAACGCCCTCAAGGTGTTTGAAACACAGAAAGGCAGAAAACTGAGGAGGCCATGGCCCGATGGATGGATGGATGGATGGACGGATAGATCACTAAAAGGAAGTCGGATGTGTATGAATTCAGGCTAATAATCTAGAAAAGATTCTCAGAATGGTAGGTCATGGTCAATAATCAAAGGCCTTCTTTTCATATTTTGTAAGCTGGGGTAGCTCAGTCAGTATAGTTACTGGTTATGGACCGGACGACTAGGGTTCGATCCCCGATGGGGACAGAGGATTCTTCCTGTAGCTTCTGCATCCAGGCCGGCTCTGGGCCCACCCAGCCTCCTACTCAATAGGTACTGGGGTCCTTTGCTGGGGGTAACATGCGGCCAGGGCATGACGCTAACCACTCACCCCTACCTAGTACTGAAGTTAAGAATGAGTCGGAGATATACTTCTTCTCCCCCCCAGGTACCTGCATGGTCTATAGAGGGACAGCTTTGCTTACTTATCTTCACATTCTTGACCTGCAATGACTAATGAAACCATAAAAATACCCCCGTTAGGATAGCTGCCCTCTGGTCTGAGTTTTTAAACCCAAGACTTTGAGTCTACGATGAAGAAGTGATAAGTGGTAAAGTAAGTTCCCACGGTTCATACATAAAAATAGGATGAGATCTGTCAAGTGATGAAACTTCCATGATATTTTGTGCCAAGATCAAGAACACTGACTGTAACTTTGTCTGCACAGTCTATTTGTTGTGCTTTGGTTTTCAAACACGTCAGTGCATTCTGATAAGTCATGTACGTTCCATATCAAATTAACTGCATGTAAATTCTTTACTTTTCTGTTATGCAGATTAATAAGATCTATTAATGGTGATTGGGAACAAGTGTATCCGTGAATAACCCTACCCAACACCCTTCACTTTTCTCATCAGCTAGAACTCTGTTTTGTTATGTTTGCAATAGCAATCTCATTATGTTTCTCTACATAAACCATAATGTCATATTATGTATAACATCTGATAAGTTCCTGAGCGCTATTACAAATACTTCTCGGTTGTTTTTGTTTGTTTTATTGCCAAAAATAAATAACCAGATTTTGTGTCAAGTGGTAAAATGAGGACTGAATTTTCTTGGGGCATTTGAAAAGCTTACGATCTTCCACTTGTCACGATCCCCTTTTCCGTTCTATGAGCCTAATTTAAATTATTTTCTATGTAGCACTGGATTGGGAAATTTGTGAATTCTGTGTTAGAAAGGACGTGAAAAAATGTGGTTGTGGCCTATTTTGATACTATGACTCATTTGCCTGAAACAACTAAGGGCAACATGAACATAGACAGGACTGCCAATCTCTCAACTATAATCTTCTACAAAATGTGTTTATGTTGTTCATCTATAACATTGTCAAAACTGGCCAAGTGATAAAGGATCTTATTTAATATGCGATTATGATATGACGCGAGTTGTCTCGATGCCAGACTGGGAACAATGAACCGAATTACTGTGCCAGTGTTTCTGCATTTTCTATAATGTCACAATTTAGCAAATGGCTCACGAAGAAGTGAAAGAATTTTTATATATCTTGGGCTCTATTGGGTGAGGCCGATGTATTCAAGTAACAGATAAAAGATGAATCTTAAAAATTGGTAAACTGCAAGAAGTACTTTCAAATGTAGAGTAATGTGACTTAAGAGCGTGAAGCACGAAGATCTGGAGCCTCGCCGGCCTTCGTGTTCACTTACTGCAGATGTAGAGATCAGAGATAAAACATCAGATGAACAGAGAGACAGAAAGAAGGCACAATCTATCCACTGAAAACACTTTATGGAAAGAACATACAAAATTGCGCATTGCAGGTTTCTGCATTAATCTTTATGGAACGTTGTGAAGCGTAAGCATCTCAGATTAAGTTTCTCCTAGCAGCCCAAATTTCAAACCCTATATTTATATCTTGTATACAGTTCTGCAAAAGGTTCTGCTTTAAATATCAGGCGCAGAAAACTCCTAAATACAACGCTGCTTAAATGTTGATAAACGCTTCATCTTCACTTCTACTAAAACAGTAGAATTTAAATTAAAATTAAAAGGTGCCTGCTCTGAGCCTTATAGTAAAAAAAACAGTTTGCTTTGATTAATTCTTTTCTGAGAGTGTGACCCCTGATTGGAATATACACACAAAAATTAAATTAGTGATGACAAATATTTAATTGAACTGTATATTCTCGTTGCTTGTAAAAGTTAACTTCTTCGCAATCACAGCAACGTCATCGCAACTGTTGCAGGAACTTAAGGTATACGAGTCCTCGTATTCATGCGCAAGCTAGTGTAAAAAGTATACAAACACGCACGACGTACAGCAGTCTGTCATTTACTGACATCCGGAGTCTGATAAGTCTTTTTTTATTCATGGCCCGAATCGACTCAGTTTAGTAATAATGGGACGGAAGAAAAAATATTGTTCCGGATGTTCTTCTCGCGTCTTCTTCAAAAGGTCGTCAACCCAAGACGGTTTGGGATAATCAGGGAAGCAGTTAAAATGTAAATGCCCAGAAAGAATTGTGTTCTGAATGGATTCTGCAAGAGGCCTAAGTAGTCAATAATTCAGCATGAAGTCCGAGGCTCACCTGGTTCTGAAGAAAGAACTGCGCCTGTGCCGGTAGCTGAGCTCCAGCACCCGGCTGAAACAAGACGTACTGCTGAAACTGCTGCTGTAGCGTTTGGTGGTGTTGCTGAAGAGTCTGCTGGAGCGCCTGCAGTTCTTGTGGGCCAAGTGCAGCCAGGTTAGGAAGCGCTGGGATCTGCCCCACTGCAGCCACAGCGAGCTGGTTCTGCAGGAACAATTGCTGCCCCTGCGCCCCCAGGCTCATCAGCTGCGGACAGACACAGACACGAGCGCACGTGAACACGACATCCTGTGTGGACTGCGGTCTTCTGGGCTATGACGCCACTGCCCTAAAATTCTAACCAAAGTAATGACATAACCTAACCTAACCTAACCTAACCTAAACCCAAACTAAAGAACTAACCTAACCTAATGGATTTGTCTCGATTTTCCTTAATCTTTCAAACTTCTTGCAAAAATATGAAACATTACTATCCAAATAAACAGATTATATACACAACAGCCTTCACACATTCAGTTCTGTCCAATTAAGATCAATTTCAGGAGACAACAAAGAAGGACAGACAAAATGGTGTCAAGGAAAGGGGAAGGGAAGTAGGCAAAATAAATGCAACGTGGAAAAACCGTACATAGGCGAAATGTATGTGGATACAGTGTCCTGATGATATTGAAGTGAAACGGATGACATTTGTTTTGGAGAACCCCATAAGAACTGTGGTAAGGTTTTTGACGTGACACAAGAAACTGCTTTTAATTTCCTGTTATCGTCAGTAAAATGCCAGTGATCTACAGCGTCTTCTTCACATCATTTTTCGTAGCATGAAAGTTGTGTTCAAGCACTTTCTATGTCCTACGTCTATTTCATCAACAATATCAAATATGCAAACAAAATCACTGATACTGGAGAATACTTTAAACATTTTCATGTTGATACTAAATGATTTCTATATATATATATATATATATATTGGGTTGAACAGAAAGTTTTTGCGTTTTTAAATGAAAGTCATAATCATGTTTTTTTTTAAAAAAAATATTTGCAATATTTAATTAATTATATAATTTTCGTTGCTTGCTATTGTCGTCTACCAACCTACCACAAGCTTTTCAATTCCGGATTTTTCCTTGTTCTTTAAATGATTTTGAGGTGATCTGAGTATATGATAATCGGATGTCCTAATTCAGTTCCTTGTTTTTGCTGTCGTGGTGAAAGACAAATCCTTTTCTGTTGACGAGATGTGAACATTTTTCTGTAAGGCATTCGCTTACGCGGTGCAACTGTTGATAGTAAACTTCTGGATTTACGGTTTTCCGTTCAACCCGATACCACAACCCATAATGGCTTAATTTTGAACTCAGAGAAACATTCCATAAGACAAATTCCAGTGTTTCATTAGCTTTTAATTATTTATTGCATATTTTTGCGTAAAAATATACCGGCATTTCTAAATTTCCATTCTGCGCACTGCGCATGCCTCAGAGCGGTACCTGGTTCAGGGACAGCTGTCCTGCCTGAATGGCGG